GGCTCTGCCTTTGATTCTCCTCAAGCTCTTAATGATAATGGTTGATTGCTTGAGTTGCCTTCACTCACCTCCAGCTTGAAGGCTCCAACTCCATGTCCTCTTTACCTCACGAGGACAGCACACTTACTCCATTCCTTTAAATCGTAGCTCACAAATTCCTCCTCTATGGCTCTACCTCTGATTCTCCTCAAGCTCTCGATGACAATGGCTGATTGCTTGAGTTGCCTCCACTCGCCTCCAGCTTTAAGGTTCCAACTCCATGTCCTCCTTACCTCACAATGACAGCACACTTACTCCATTCCTCTAAATCGTAGCTCACAAATTCCTCTTCTATGGCTCTACCTCTGATTCTCCTCAAGCTCTCGATGACAATGGCTAATTGCTTGAGTTGCCTCCACTCGCTTTTAGCTCTAAGCCTATGTTTGGATAAAAATTAGTAAAGGAAAGGAAAGGGAGGGGAGGGGAAGGAGGGGGAGGGGAAGTGAAGGGAAGGAAAATGTTGATATTAATTTTGTTTGGATAGATAAAAGTGAAGGAGAGGAAAAGATAATATTTTTATTTAATTAAATAATTTAATAAAAAATAAAATGAAAAAGAATAAAATTTTTAAATTTTATTAATTAAATAAATAATTAAAATAAAATATTTATATATATTTATTTTTTAAAAAAATAAAAACAAAAATAAGTTAAATAATGTACTTCGTTTTAATCTTTTCAAATCGGAAGAATTGAAAACAGAGGAGGAGAGGGGCTCCCTCTATTAAAATGATTTACCCAAACACAAAAAGTTGCTCTTTTCCCCTCACTCTCCTCTCTTTTCCCTCTAACTTCCTCAATCCAAACAAGAGTTAATCTTCTTACCCAAAAGATAGAAAAAAAAGAGTGGCTGAATTTTTTGCCCATGTTTTCTTATATTTAATGTTTTTGAAACAACATGCAGAAACCGTAAAGTTTTGATTAAGACTTGCATTTTGTAGCATTTTTGGGGCTTTGGAATCTTTCTTGTTACTAATGCTTGTAATCTGTCCTTTCTCCAAGCACATGCCAAAAATGCTAGATATTTTATTGCTACTTCTCTTCTATTCTATGGTCTGTGAAGGAACAAATCTAGTAAGTTAAACCTGGGCAATTTTTCCAATTGCCTCATCAGCCGTCTCAAGTAAATTTCCTCAAGTGCAACTGCTAGTAGCTCAAAACTTCATCCACACTTAATTACGCCCGTTTCCATATGTTAATAGCTATCAGGGTTGTTCATTTTTTTTTTTTTTGTACTAACTTCATGTTATTAGTAGTTATATTGAATTTAACTTATTCAGAATTAAATCGTATTGAATTTTATACTTATAAAGAGAGAACTCTCTCAAACTTATTTTCTATTTATAAGAGTTTAATTCAAAATTTTGTTTTAAAAAAATTGATTTCTTTCTACTCGAATTAAGAATTAAATCGTTAGTTGGTCTAATTAATATATACTAATTATTTTTAAGTCTCATATTTTATTATTTAAATTGTATTAGATTATAAAATAAAAATTATTAAATTAGATAAAAACTCTAATATTATAGGACTTATTTTCATTTAATGCTAAGTACTATATAATTTGATATAATTTAAATTATCTAATATTTTTTTTACAAATTAGTATACATTAAATAAATTTTTTTTATTAAATTAAAATTAAAGGTTTAAAATCTTCACAACACCATCAACTTATGATGTATTGAAAAATCAATATAAATGATTTTAGAGTTTTTAGTTTCAAAATTTTTTAAGGGGAAGTTTTTTCAAATAATTTACTTAATACTAATCATTCATAAAAATTAGAATGTAAAATATATATATATATATATATATATTAGGATGTCTTGTTATTTGTGAGTGGTTTGAAACTAATTTCTTCCGTAATCACCCGCTGTCAAAGAAAGTGTCGGGGGAAAAATTAAAATAAAATCCAGGGCACGACGAGAAAGAAAGATTCTTCATTCTTTCCAGCGGTTTCCTTCTTTGGTTCCATTCCCAAACACCCCCCCTCTACCCCGCGAAGCAGCAAACCCACCCAAATCTTCATGGAGACGCGTCGCGGCTCAGGTGCCGTCCCAAGGGTTCGCCAGGTCGGCTTCTTCACGCCCAACGCACCGCCACAACCTACTGGTCAGCGCGCTCGGACTCAGTCTGCTCCGCTTGAATCCAACTCGCCTCCGCTGTCCAATTCTCCCGCCAGCAACTCGCTCTCTCCGGTCATGATCCCGCCATCTCGTCATCTCTCCGAAAATATCGCCACGCGCAGCGCCGCTGTTCCGGTCCCTGGGCGGTCAGCCCCTGGAGAGCACATGGTAGTGGGGAGCTACAACCCGTCTGAGTTGGTGCTCGAATTGGAGTCGCCGCCGAGTCGGACTGGTGATGGTGAGTTCTCCGAGGAGACGGAGTCGAACTTGGGCTGGCTCGGTAGGAGCAACTCCGGGAAATTCGCTTCTAGTCTTCCGAGCGGCGGTTTCGATTTGTCACCAGTGAAGCCGCCTGAGAATGTCGGCGAAGTTGAAGCAAAGAAGAGCATTCAAGTGCCGGGTAAGCCCATTCCTTACTTAGATTATTGTTTATAAATTCTATTTGATGGTACAGAATTTTGTAATGAAATTTTTCTCCATTTAAAACGGAAGCTGAAGAGTGTTTTTGGGTGACTCTGACTGTTCTATGGTCTGATTTGATTGCACTAGCATATGGATAAGGTAGTCTTATTCTATACCTAGAATTTAAGCTTCTTTCTTCAGAAGATGATTACGTTTTTGTGCAAAATGTTCTGATATGTTCTCATTATTTTTGTGAGACAATGGCTAAACCTGGTTAGCATAAATGTTGTCAATTCGAGACTTTAATTGATGCTGGTGGTGTTGTCCTTTAGGAGAAATAATACTCAAGGATTTGTTTTACCACATTCATGACACAGAAGAATAATTAAAGAGATCTAACTAGTGAACTGAACTTTTGAAGCTTTCTTTCGGGGGATATTGAACTTGCCATTGCAAAACATGAAAAGCTAGCGTTGTTCTGAGATCATATAGTTAGCTTTGTTGTTTGTACTTTCTAGATTATGGTTGTTTACTCTGAATTTTAAGCCTCCATTTTCCAGCAATCTTTGCAACAAATCTAAAACAATATTGCAGAAAAATGTGTAGGACCTGTGGAAGGGGTTCGCAGTGAATTGACTTCAACTTCAAAGCCACAGAAAGCAAAAACAACAAAAGCCGAGAGACGTGCTAAACAGGAATCTGATCGAGCTGCCAAAGCTGCTGCGAAAGGTTCAAACAATGATCTTTGTGTTCTTTTTTTGCTTATTTTATTTTTTTTTCTCCACTTATATTTTTCTTCTTACCGCAAATGAAATTTCTTCCATAGATAATTTTGAGAAGATTGGCAATGATATTTCATATTTTGACTACATTTTATCAGATACTTATCAATTGTGTTATGTCTTACTACCAAACTTCAAGCTGACCAAGTTTTCTATTGGAAGCTTGGTCTACTTGGCACTAAAGAACTTCTTGTAACTGCAGAGGCAATGCAATCAGCTGCTGCTTCTGGGGGAGCAGGCAAACCTGTGAAGCAGCCCTCGCAAAAGAAAGATGTTCCTCCAGCTGCGCCTTCAATTGCAGCTTCTGAAAGGAAAGGACCTGATCGCCCAGCCGAGAAAGAGAGGAAGAAAGATGTTCCTCCCCCACGTATGCAATTTGATGATAAGAGCCGTGTGGAGAAGGCAAAAAGGCGTTCAGTGGTAAATCAAACTGAAGTCAGGAACAGAGTTGAATTGTTTCGCCATCTGCCCCAGTACGAACATGGAACACAGCTTCCCAATTTGGAGTCTAAAATTTTCCATCTGGATTCAATACATCCTACTGTATACAAGGTAATCTCTTGAGGTAGTTAGATATATTATTTTATCTCTTTTAATAATACTATTTAAGCTATTTCTTTCAACTTATGACTGTGAGATAAGCTCTGTTACCCATATGGAGACTGGAAGGCCCTGCAATTTAACAAGCTAGAAATGCATTGGTGGTTCTGGATTTAATTAATTGAAACTGTCATAAGTCAAATCTATTTTATATATTGTCCAGGGTTTTGTTATAAACTGCTTTGTTAATACATGCAATGCAATGTGGATTTTTTTTTTTTTTTTGGGGGGGGTGTGGTATATCATAAGTTAGATGCTTATCAACCACAATGTTTTGAACCACTAACCTTGACCCTAGATCAAGGTTTTTATCAGTACCAACTCGGCTCTTGTTAGTATGTGCATGTGCATTTCTGCACCTATGCATAGGTTTGATAATGCAATAATGAAGCCACTAAGATAATATTCCCATTTTAACGCAGTTTGACTTTCTTCTCTTTTGTAGAACTAGAAAGTTAAAAATTTAAATTATGTTCTGCATGATTTTTCCTTTCTACAGAGTTCTCTCTCACACATA